TGTATTATAATACATCCATGTGCACTTATAGTTCAATGCTTTTAACTTTTAAACATTTAACTTTTAAAATCACAAAGCATTGAGCAACTAGTGCGTCCCAGTCAGGTTCATCACTTTTTTGTATCACCTGGAAACATTTCTGTTGGAATGTCTTTTAAATCAATATCAAATAAATACATACAGCTATGAAATAAGTCCTGGAAAAAATAAATGAGGTAATACATGTACAAATGTGTAAATGTCCACATTTATTTATATCCAGAGACCTTTATTTTCAAATGTCACATTTATTTCCCAACTCTTTTTATTCCCTTCTATCATATTCAAATGAGGGGGTGTGGTTGGTTATCCAAAGCAACAACCCCAGAACAGAACTGTATCACACACTGAACAAGGTCATCGGAAGTTATATAGTGATACTGTGATATTGCTTTTGGTCTGAATCTGTGAGATAACCAAGCCCCCTCATTTGAATAAAAGAGCAGTAAATAAATGTGACATTTGGAAATAAAAGTCCCCTAAAATAAATATTTTTTTTTTAAATAAAAAGCAAATCATTTTTTCACTTATTCAGTTATATAGCTATTTATTTATTGACTCACTTATATACTCATATTCAAATTCATTTATATATTGTATGTATTACCCAATGTATTTATTTCAGGATTTATTTCACAGCTGTATTTATTTATTTAATTATTTATTTAATATTGATTTAGATGGTAGTCCATAACTTACAGCATGTTTGTGCATTAGGTTGTGTTGTGAGTATTTGCAGCCTGTGTTGTTAAATTGCTGAAGATGTTTTCTGAATTTGTTTGTCTTTTTGTCTGTTGCATTTTTTTTCCTAAGATGCAGTGTGTTGAGCTCTCAGGGCAACCATTGAAAAACCGACATCATAAAGCTCTGGTAGCTCTGAGTCACTGGAGCTACTTACACCTGATGGTCCGCAGGTCTGAGTCACTGTAGCTGCCACATGTTGTTTCAGCTTTTCATTTAGTATTTTAATAGTGGTCTGATACTCCGGGCCAATCAGCTGGCCAGACCACAAGGAATTCTTCCAGACTTAGAAAATCCAAATGTGTCTATAGGTGATAGTGCTCCCAGCTGTTTAATGAAGTCACAACAAATGAATTTGTGGCTCTGAGCCGTGTGATATACACCAGGTTGAAATATACAAGCATTTTCCTTTAAAGGACCCCTGCTGTACTGGCACAGTGGTCTCATAAAAATGAATTTGTTATGAGGCACTGTCCAGTGGAACATGGACTGGTCCAAAATGTCTATTTTGACATCTGTGTTGAAATGACAACTTTGAACGTCTTATGGAGTTTAAATTTGGGTGCTAGCACCACAAGGCGACAAGACCACTCTATTACATTCCTCCCCTTTAAGCTTTCTAGCCATTATTTCTTTACAAAGCAAAAATAAATCTGCTGCCCCTGAGTAAATTCTTGAAACACCAACTCACTGAAATAGTGAACTTCAAATATCTCTTAGCAGTGCACATTTCACAGCCTATATCTTAACAAACTGCATTTTAGATTGTCAATTTTAAAGATTCAGTCTCTGTGGGAGTAACCAAAGCCTTTTACAGCATTTTACAGGTGCACTCTTGTTTTCTGTGGGTGATACCTGTGCTAGTGTCACCTCGACAGCCTGGTCGAGACACTGGTGTACTGGGTGAAAAACCCAGAACAGGACAGTCCACTGTTACTGATGGAACAGTCTCTGCAGCTGGTGGAACCAACTTAACCGATGGTCTCCCAACCCTTTTCTCGCCATGGTAACACGTGGTCAATATGCACTGTACGCTGTCTCTGTCCTTCCAGTATAAGGACGTGACAGTTCCCAGTCTCTTAAGAACTGTTGCCTGAATCCATTTCTCCACTCCTCCCCTGATATTTCGGATTGCGGACAGTCTCTCCTTCCAGAAAAAAAGCGAACAAATGAGACCCCATGGTCATGATGCTGTTTCTGTGCAGCTCGTTTTTCCTCAACCCATCTGGCAAGGTCAGGCTTGAGCAAACTGAAGCGAGTTCAGATCTGGCATTTCAAGAATAACTCAGCTGGTTTCTGACCAGTCACAGTGTGAGTTGTACTGCGGTACATGAATAGGAAAGTTGCCAGTCGGGGGCTGAATGGCACAGAAACCTTAGCCTCTGCTTCAAGCACATCTTTCACCAGAGCCCATTTTAGGATTTGAACGGACCTCTCTGTCGCTCCATTTGATACAGGGTGGTATACAGGTAAAGTACTGCGTTTGACTTCATTTCTCTCGAGGAACTGAGTAAACTCCCTAGACACCAATTGCAGCCCATTATCTGATACTAGCTCCTCCGGGAGTCCATATGAAGCGAATAGGCCCCGCAGAACTTCAATGGTGTTGTGAGATGGGAGATGGGAAAGACTTCTAACCCCTTTGAATGGCTATCAATGACCTTCAAAAAGTTCTGCTTATCCTTCTCAGCTAATACTGGGAGTATAATGACTCTTTGGCCCCAGAGAACGCAGCCTTGTTCTGCTGATAACTCCTATCTGCGTATGAAGTAAGGCCTCAATGCTTCATCCTGTGTATAACTGGGCCATCTATTCATGGTGTAGCTCCACACCTTACTCAGTACAGGATCCTTTAAAGTGGTTTTCTCAATGTCTTTTGCACACACTGGAAGTTCCTCACATGTGAGAAGAAGAAAATACTTCCCTCTCCTGCTGTGTTTTCCACTGAGGCTCGGGGAAGGCGTGACAAAGCATCAGCGTTGGCATGATGAGCTGAATTCCGGTATTCAATGTCAACTGCTGATTTTGGCCCCAGTATAGCCAAAAGTGGCTTGTGATCTGTAAGGTGTGTGAATTTTCTCCTGTATAGATATTTGTGGAATTTATTAACACCAAAGTGGCAAGTGCCTCCTTTTCAATTTGGGCATACTTCCTTTCAGCCTCGGTTAGTGTCCTTGATGCAAAAGCCACAAGTTGCTCCTCACCATTATCCATGACATGTGAAATCACAGCACCCACTCCATAAGGTGATGCATCACATGCAATCTTCAGTGGAAGGCCTGTATCACAGTGTACTAGCACCTTGTTCTGCTGCAACAGTCTCTTAGCATCTTCAAATGTCTTATCGCATTCAGTAGTCCAAACCCACTTACCATCTTTTCTTAGCAGATTATGCAGGGCTTTTCCAGGGAGTGGATGTAGTAGTTTAGAAGGCCTAATAAGGACTTCAACTCTGTCATGTTTGTTGGCCTAGGTGCATTTATTATTGCGGCCATTTTTTCTTCAGTGGGGTGTAGGCCATCCTTGTCAATGCTATGTCCCAGATACTCCATACTGCTCTGGAGAAAAAGACATTTAGAGAGTTTGACTCTGACTCCATGTTTCTCCAGACGTGTGAGCATGTCATCCAGCCTTTTCAAATGCTCCTCCTTTGAGTAAGCAGTGATGAGGATATCATCCAAAACACATATCACATGGTCCAGCCCTTGAAGAATCTGGTCCATAACAGACTGAAAATTTGCTGAGTTGAGTACTGGAAACATAACATAACTGAGGCAATGATACTTGTACAGCCCTTGTGTGTGTTAATAGTCAAATATTTCTCTGCTATTTTTGCTGGTAGGCATGAGAGATGTCAAGTTCACTGAATGATGTTCTTTCTGCTAAAGTAGCAAACAAATCTTCAGTATTAGGTAGAAGGTATGTCTCCTCCTCAACACACTGACGTTAGCACTCTGTGTACTGTGAAAATCTGTCTCCAGTTTAGCTGTAGCTTCTTTAGCCAATTTAGACCAATCAGAGCAGGTCTACTTCTCTAAACAATGACCAGCAGTAGAGTGACTTGCTGTGCCCCATACTGTACTGGTATGATTTCAGCTTTAACGTGGGAGCTGATTTTAACGGAAACGAGTGAGATTTGTCTGGTAAAAATGCTGACCATGTATCCAGTAGCATAGTTGTGCTCTTGCCTCAAAGTGCAACATCAACTGTGTATGCTTTTTCCCAGCTTGAGGTAGAGTACACTGCATACGCTCCAAAAGCTCAGCATTTTTTTCATCTCCTCTGGATGTGTTTCTCTCAGTTTCCACATACTGCATTTGTGAAGTCACTTTTCTCTTCCTGCAAGCATGAGCAATGTGTCCAATTTTGGAGCAAACATGACACATTTCATTCTTAAATCTGCAGTCTCTTGCCAGGTGCTTCCTGCCACAATGATAGCATGTTTGCTGCAGCTTTTCCGATGCTAACTGTTAGCCTGACACATGCCTGGTTCCTTTACAAAAACTAGTTTTCGTCTGCACGCGGCTGATGTACTGTCCTTTACACAGTCCTTTTACGTAGTTGAATTCTTTACAATTCTCGTCACCATTTGTGGACCATTAGCAGAGCTGGAGTGGAGCAGGAAGCAGAGCGAGGAGCGCAACTGAAGCACTCACATATACTTTTTACAAATGGATACTTGAAACAGATTTCACTCAAACCCTCTCAAATTCGCCGCTCATGATGTTGAATTGTCTAAGCTTGTCTTTCACAGTTTCAGTGATTTAGTCAGGAGTTTTAACTAATTCTTGTTCCCCCCTCCACAGAAATGGGCTGTGCGAAATACTGATTCACAGTTGCATATAAGATACATGATAGGTACATAGCCCAAAGAAAGCCCACATTTTTACAATGTAAGCATACATACAGCCCAACATATATGAAACACAGCCCCTCTGTCAAAAAGGGGATGGGTGTGTTGACGCCAACCAATAGCATGGAAAAATTGACGGTCCAAATACTTGAAGATTTTCAAAATTGGTGTGTTAAAACGTCAAAATAAACATTTTGGACCAGTGCTTTCCATATTGTCCTACAAAAAACGGTTGCAAACTTAAACACACAAAGGACCACATCCCAGTTCTACTAAAAAAGATCAAATGTAAAGTGATGAGGTTAATAAATAACAGTAGCATCCACACTGATGCTGGATGAACTATGACTCTAGTTCGATGTCTTACCTGAAACTGGTTTCTTGACTTCTAAGGACAGTGTCATAGGAAGGTTACGCATCAGCTCACAGATTTCCTGGTAGCTGGAGGAGCACACCAGCTTTTCTCCGATTTTCACAATCTCATCTCCAGGACACAGCTTGGCTGAAGATCCCTGGAAATACAATTAAACACAAGAGATAAAATTAAACTTTTCACTGAGCAATAGACTCTCTCAAACTGAAGTCTCCCTTCAGTGATACTGGACTGGACGATGAGGATGAAACCAATCAGACGTACCCTCTCTGCTGCGCAGCCAGGCTTTAACCCAGTGATGACCACTTTCAGAGGGGAGGACATGATCTCCAGGTCAAGACCAAAAGACTCGTTGTCACTTCTCCTGAGGGTCACAGTGTCGATGGCACAAACACCAACAAGCTCGCGGGTGTCTCCTTTCTTACAGTGGGGCTCTGGCCCACCGACAGTCCTGGGGGTTCTTCCACACTGTGTGGGCTGGGATGGGGGCTGGGATGGAGCGGGCTCATCCACTCTGGACTTCTGCTGTTGAAGGTTTGGAGCTTCAATGCTCATCATACTTTTGACCCGCGTCACTGCTTTATGCTCCAACTTGGGGGAGCGCTTTGACTCCAGCTGTGCATCATCTGGATTTGTGCAATTCTCACTGATGATAGTCAAATGGCTCGACGCAGAGTCCATGCTGCTTACCAAACCTGCTTTGTGGTCCAAAGGGCAGCAGATGGGCATGAAGGGTGACTCAGAACCATCTGCCTCAGACTTCCTGGTAACACCATCCTCACATTCTGACAAACTACCACAGAGTGGTGCTGTCACATTGCTGCTCCCACATCTCTGTAAATCCCCGTCATCGTCATTGTCTCCGTCTACGTCTAACAATGATGCAGCAGAAGTAGCAGTTACAACTGCTGGAACAGTTTTGGGGATTTGTGCATCACTGAGATTCAGAGAGTCAGGTTTTGTTGGTCTATGGAAGCGCCCAGTGTTTCTATTGTTGTCTGAGTCTTCATCATCGCTGAGCTCATCCTCAAAGCACATCACCCGGTGCTGACGCAGAAGCGGGCTCCGCACGGAGGCAGGGCTGGAGACGGCAATGGGCTGGCAAACTGCCTCTGCATGTTGATGAAGGGGGGCGGGGGTCTTCTCCTCTGATGTGTTGTACACAGGGTCACTGTCCACTTCTGTTAGGGAGAGAGTGAAAGCTGAGGAGAAGATGCAGGTAAAGTGGTGACAACAGTTAACAGGTAAACAAATGATTAGTCATTTGTCACAGCCAAATACAAACAGACAAAGATGATGTGGTGTCATGAATGTGGGTCAATGCTCCTACATGCTGTGTGATTTCAGGCTGTCCCATACAAATGTTAACATGATGAAATCTTTGGTCATTAATCTAGAATAGTGTCCCTAAATCACTTGAAAGTGTCCCTTGATGAAGAAACACGTCCACTGGTGTCTCACTCTGGAGACCGAAAACCAGGTCTATGTAGGGTCTCACTACATTCAAGATTGTGGAGACCACATGTTCTGTTGTTCAACAGACAAAAAAACTCACTTTCCCACAATTCCTCAGTGGACGACCCTCCCGTAGGGACCTTGCTTACTGGTCAGTGTGTGACATGTGGCTCCCCCAGGGTGTCACCAAATAAAACCAGATCCCCTTCTTTGTTGTCTCTCTTCTCTCCTTGGTTTGCTCAAGAGCAGAAGCTCCTCTCTTCCCTCTTGGCTCTTCAAGGAGCAACAAGGCTCCCAGGTCAGCCGTGCTACCTGAGACAACAGTTCCCTTGCAGGCCTGCCCCCAGCAGACTGCATTACTCTTCTCCTCAACAGCAGCAACCTGCTTAGTATTAACTGGTAGTGAACCAAGTTTTCTCCAGAATCAGCAGAGTAAGCAAGGCGACAGTTAACTCTGTGAGATGAACAAAGAAGAAAACCAGAGGCCTCCTCTGCAACACCAAGGCTACACAGCCAGACAGGACTTCACTCCTCTAGTAAGCAACACAAACCCACTTGACTTTAGAACAACACTGGGTAACGTTAACTGACTAGGCCTAACCTAAACTAGCACAGCACAGCTGAACTGTAGAACTCTTATCTTTTGTTTATGTACATGTACATGTTAGTTAATGTTTTGTTGTTGCAATGTTCCCCTCTGAGAATCGCTTCCTTAATGTGGTGGAGGGGTTTGTCTGTCCTGGTGACCATTGTCTGGGGACATAGCCCCTGGTAGGGTCTCCCAAGGCAAATTGGTCCCAGGGGAGGGGCCAGACTAAGAGCAATTCATAAAACCCAGAGTGAAGATGCCATGTGGGAGTTTTGGTACCTTGCTCGTGAATAGGGAAACCGGGGGAACCCTCCTGGAGCCAGACCTGAAAGGGGAACTCGCCAGTGAGCGTCTGGTGGCTGGGCCTTCACCCATGGGGTCCAGTCAGGCCCAGTCAGGCACAGCCCGAAAAGGCTACATGGAGCCTCTGCCTTTGCGGACCCACCAGCCACAGGGATGGATTTCAGGGTTGGCTGCGATGCCTCGGCATTTGCGGAAACAAAAACTCGGGTGTGTGAGGAATTTGGGGAGGCTATGGAGGAGGACTTTTGGTTGGCCTTAAGGAAGTTCTGGCAAACCGTTTGGTGGAGGGGAAGCAAGGCTTGAACCAGGCTGTGTTCAGTTGGAGAGAAGAACTGCTGACCCGGACTGGAGATGTTGTTGGGCGTTGGAAAGAATACTCTGAGGAATTCCTGAACCCAGTTAACACATGGCAGAGTCTGAAGACTCGGGTGAAGTCTCATCAATAACCCTGGCAGAGGTCACTGAGGTAGTCAAGAAGCTCCTTAGTGGCAAGGCGCCAGGTGTGGATGAGATACACCCTGAGATGCTGAAGGCTCTGGACATTGGAGGGTTGTCTTGGCTGATACGCCTCTTCAATGTCGCATGGAGGTCGGGGACAGTACCTGTGGAGTGGCAAACAGGGGTGGCGGTTCCCAGTTTTAAAAAAGGGGACCGAAGGGAAGCTCCAATTACTGGGATATCGCACTGCTCCTGGGCTCTGACCAATTGTGGATCCTCAGATTCAGGAGGAGCAATGCAGATTCTGTCATGGCAGTGGAACAGTGGACCAGCTCTTTCCCTTTATGAGAGTACTGAGGGGGACATGGGAGTTTGACCAGCCAGTCTATATGTGTTTGTGGACTTGGACAAGCTGGCTGGGGGACAAAGTCATAGGCCTGTGGGGGATACTGCCTGTGGGGGGTACTACATGGTATGGTGTATAGGGTACCCTGTATAACCAAAGTGAGAGCTGTGTATGCATTCTCGGCACAAAGTCAAACACGTTTTCAGTGAATGCTGAACTCCACCAAAGTTGTCCCTTATCTCCGATCCTGTTTGTGATATTTATGGACAGGATTTCAAGGCACAGCCAAGGTGAGACGTGTGCCCTCTTTGGGAACCTCAAAATTGCATCTTCGCTTTTTGCAGATGAGTGTGACCTCCAGTGCTCACCGGGACGGTTTGCAGCTGAGTGTGAAGCAGCCGAGATGAGAGTCAGCACCTCAAAGTCTGAGGCCATGGTTCTCAGAAAACGGTGGACTGCTCCCTCTGGGTTGGGGGTGAGTCACTGCCCCAAGTGAAGGAAGTATCTTGGGGTCTTGTTCACAAATGAGGGTAAGATGAAGCAGACAGGCGGGGTGGGGCGGCGCCAGCAGTAATGCTGGTGTTGTACTGGAGTTTAGCTGAAAGGCAAAGCTCTCGATTCACCAGTTGATCTTCGTTCCAACCCTCACCTATGGTCAACGAATAAGATCACAGATGCAAGTGGCTGAAATGGGTTTTCTCCGTAGGGTGGCTGGGCTCAGCCTTGAAGATAGGGTGAGGAGCTTGGATATCCAGAGGGAGCTCAGAGTAGAGTCACTTCTCCTTCACGAGCATCGGAACCAGCTGATGTGGTTCGAGCATCTGATAAGGTGGTTTTCCAGGCACGTCCGACTGGGAGGTAGACCCAGAACTTGCCAGAGGGATTACGTATACCATCTGGCCTGGGAAAGCCTCGGGATCCCCCTGGAGGATCTGGAAAGCATTGTCGGAGAGAGGGATGTCTGGAACCTCCTGCTTAGCCTGTTGCCACCATGACCCGACCCAGAATAAGCGGAAGATAATGTATGGATGCAATGGAAGGATATTATAATGTTTGCTTAGTTTGTGCTTAGTCATGGAGTTAATTTGGTACTTGTATGTTCAGACACATACCTGTGGCTTATCTCAGTTATAGGGCCTGCATGCAGCTAACATTCACCCTCTAACCTGTCACCTTTAGACTACATGAACTAGGCTAACAAAGAAACTCACACCTTCCCTCCCCACAAACCATGTGGTTTCAGCGGCCATTATGAGTAGTTTCTTTGTTTACTGCAATCTTGTTGTAGTCTCTTCCCTTTTAAGATAGTGTGGTCACAGAGACCATTTTAAATCAGCCATTTTTCCTTTTTCCTTTGTCTGTGTCCCCACAGACCCCCCCAACACACTGACACTAGCGCACACATGTACACAAAAACTGTTAAAAGTACGTTTAATGCCCACGGAAGCCCTGAAAGGCAAGGCGACATTTTTTTCTGGGTAGAAAGACAAAAACATATTAGAAAAATGACCCCACACCTGCCTCTCAGGGAGTATTAGACCACATAGACCAAAGAAAAAAGAAATCTAAAAGTCATAATATTACAAGAATAAAGTTGTAATATTACGAGAATAAAGTATAGGTAATACGATTTCTGGGATACAATACCCCACATTCCTGCAATAAATTCCTGTGGTAATTTTTGTGATCCTGTGATACTTGTATTGACCTGAATATAAGACGATATATTCAGGGAAAGAAACTTTTTGGTACATTTCCACATATCCCAGGTACTTAATCACATAAAACACCAAAGGAAAATATCACAGGAGCAAAAAAATTACCACAGGAATTATTAGGAATTATTATTATTATTAAATATTAAGGTCACATTGTGGCATGTGGTATTTAAATGGTTGAACATTTACCTCGTGGCTGTGATGCGTTGTCGTCCATGGAGGTGCGGCAGCTCTGCTGGTGCGGAGCCTCATCACCGCTCAATCCAATGAGCATGGTGTCAGACAAGAAGGAGTGGCTGGAGACATCCTGGGAGAAGTACTGAGATAACTCAGCCTCTGAGCTCAGGGAGCCCTGCTTCAGGGCAGAGACAACAGTAGATCAGGTCAAGAGAAAGGAGGATGAGAACCACAACCTCATGCTTTTGAAATACAGAGGATGATAAGGTGAAGGGAAACCCAATATTAAGTGTCTTAGTCAGGTGATGTTCCACCATGTGTCTCTCGAACAGCTTCATTTTGCTTCATTTCACTGATCAACAGCTGTTTGTGGTGACACAGCAAGAAAGATAGAACTGCCCCAGCAAAAGGCAGAGAAGAAGAAGAAGACAGTTTGCCAACGAATGTAGACATGGGTGTAAAAATGTACATGTTTTATTAGAGGAAATACTTCAAACATATTTGTTAGGCCTGAAGGACACACAGTGAGTGTATTGATGAGAAATACTAAATTTTAAGGACTTTTATACTCTAGTCTTATCGACTACTCAAAGTGCTTTACACCCATTCACACACACCCAAAGACACTTCAGAAATGCAGACTGGTGGAGCCAGGAATTGAACCAACACCCACCCCACCTCCTGAGCCATTAATGTTTATTCTTAACATTAAATTTTCATTCCTTTCTCCCCTTTTTAAGGAGAGATATTTTGGACCATAAATGTCTATGCTAAGCTGTTTGACTTTTAAAGACGTTAAATGATAAGGAGCAGGTAAAAATACAAATATAGTAAGTTCAAGTAAATGACTTCAACAATACCTCATATAACAATAACTATGCTTTTCTCAGTTTTTGATTTTGAACTAAAATAAGAAAACAAAAGATTTTAGAGTGTTTTTAGAACAGATATGGACTGAACAGCAGATTAATACAGATACAGTTACAGTTAAGAATAATGAACTAAAACTCAGCAATGTGTCTGTATGAACTCAACAATGATCATGAATGTGAATGAAGTCTTACTCTACTGGCAGGCTCCAGGAATCTCTTCATGGTCCAGCTGAGAGCAGGGGAGCCATCTCCCTGCTGCTCCTTGATCGATGGGTTGGGGCTCTTACAGGTCAGACCTGCACATTACAACCATGGCAGTTAGACCCAGAGAGGCCAGACACACAGAGCATATAAAAACATTTTATTTTGGCATCTGAGCCTTTAACGGTAAAGTTAACCTGTAAAACAAGAGGACAGGCAAATGAAAACATAGGTAAATATTTCAGACCTTGGGAGTGAGATGAGTGTCTGTTCCTGCTCATTTTTTCCCTGTGTGTGGATCGAGCTATGATGTGATCCATCTCCTGCTCTGACACCTGAGGAAACACATGGAAATACAGCAGATTTATCATTGGTGTGACTCAGTAGGATGTAAACACCCCCTAATAGAACCTGTTTGCACTAGAAACTCCAACTCAGTGACAAGGCACTCGGCTGGCTAGTGGTGGAAATATAATCAGTCAGTCAGTCAGTCAGTCAGTCAGTCAGGGACATTCCAGATCATAGGCCTGCCCCGCTGTTGCAGATCAGACAAAAAGAAAAAGCATCCCTGTATCTCCTCATGAAAACTAATGACTAATAACTTTGTATTTACTATTGTCAGGTCTCTGCTGCCCTCTGCTGGACATCAGTGAAATGCTACAGATCTCATCATGTACCTTTCACTGATCTGAATGTGGCATTTAAAATCCTCTACAGAAAAGTTCTGTTTACCATTTCATTAAACCTACTTTATGTTTAAAGGCTTTTAAAGAAAGTTTTGTCTTGGAATCTGTGTTACTGTAAATTTTGAGGTAAACTTCTAATTTTCACTGCAAATATATCAGCTCCAAATACTGGTTAATAAATAATTGTTCAATGGAGCACTGAATATAAACCAGGATAAAGATGACTCAAGATTAAAGAGGAAATTTACATCAGAACTAGATATACAGTATGTTACATATGTTCAAAGAGAATGGATCAGTCTGTAGAAAACAAACAGATGTCTTCTTACCTTGGGGTTAGGGTGCCTGCTTATAATGAGACTGACTGGTCCAGGTCCACATTCACTGAGGATGGCATAGGCCTCGCTGAGAGCAGCATGACGAAGACTGACCGAGTCCACCTCCAGGATCTGGTCTCCACGACTGCAAGGAGACGAACAGGTGTTAGCACAACACTGTTTGCATCAGTGAGGCTACGTATTAATTTCACTAGCGCCCATTAGTTTCCAGGTCAAAGATGACCCTGAGGTTTTCACCTGAGCCTGCCGTCCATCTTGGCCACAGATCCCAGAGCCAAGCTGTGGATGTAGATACCAGGAGCAGAGTTCTCCAGGGTCAGACAGCAGACCCCAATGCCCAGACCAACACCAGGCTCTGAAAAAGTCAACATTCACTGTCAGAGAAGAAGTGTCTTTGAAAACGAGGTTATTATCACTGCAGATGTAAAGTATGACAACTGGCACAGAAGATGTGATTTATGAGGCAACAAAAGCAGGTGAAGATACACTACATAAAAGTATGAGGACACTCTGTCCACATCAGTATATTTCAGATCTGGGTGTTTTCTGTGTTTTTTGGTTTAGGTCCTGCAGCTCCAACGAAGGGTTTTCTGTATCAAGTCAGCTCACCTTTATTAAGAGTGACCTCCATGATGATGCAGTCTTTAGGACCAGGACCAGGGCCCCTGCGGCCATCAGCCTCTTCAAACCCAGAGGGGACAGGAGTTCCCCCACTGGTATTGGAGTTGGGTGAGCTGGAGCGACTGAGGAGGGTGGGGGTGGGACAGGGTGTCAGGCTTGGACTACGAAGGCGAGTCCGAATGGTCAGCGTCACCACACCTTTCTTCAGTTGCTGTGGGAGAAATAAAAGTGAGTGTCACACAGTTGACGTTGTACATGACGTAGCAGGACAAGGATTTAAGTGTCTTTAATAACACTGTCAGTCAGAATCCAGTAAACGTGCAGACCACCTTGAATGTCTGGATGGCCTGCTGGTGTGTAAGTCCTTGGAGAGACTCTCCATTCACCTCCAGAACCTCGTCTCCTGCAGGGGGAGACACACAGTCAGACTGAGGTGGATCTTCAGTGTGAGTGTACGCGACTGTTTTACAACCTGAACTCTCTCGGCTCAGTGACACAGAGTCAAAACATGTAGTTACCCTCTTTCAGTCGTCCGTCAGCTGCTGCAGCTCCGTGAGGGAAAATGGTTTTGACAAAAATCCCCATCTGACCGCGAGCTGAGTCCTGCCCACCAACAATACTGAATCCTAGACCCTGTGGAGGTAGACCTCATGTCAGAGGGGCCCAGCAGACACACGTATGGAAGCTGAGAAAGGCCATACTTGCAAATATTTTTTTATCCCGTTATCTCAAAATAACAGGATAATGGAGCTTTGTTTTCTCTAGATAACGGAATATTTATCTCAAGATAACGGAATAATTAATTATTAATTAATTAATATCTCATTATCTCTATTATTATGTTTTCCATGGTGACCATGTTTGACAACTTAAACTACAAACTTTTTTATACACACCTCAGCTTTTTCATGTCTTTGGTTGAGTGTGATGTTTTTACTTTTACTTTGAAAATCACAAGGTATAAATACAATATTGATGACAGAGAAATGTCACCGGAATATTATATATAAGATATATAATATATTTTAGACACATTAGACATTAGAATTCAAGTGTGTCAATCCCACTATAAAGTACTAGAACTACCAGATATAGAAATGGATTATAAATATATTATAGATAAGTAGGGCTCTCGACTTTTCCATATTTTATTTGCCTACTTAATCATGAATTGTATTTAACATAATCAACAAAGATTTTCATGTTTAGGCTTGTTATTAAGGTTGGAATTTGTTGAATTTGCCACTTCTGTAAATAAGATACTAAGACGGTATCAGGAGAACATGTTCTTGGTTATCACACATTTCCTTCCTGTCTCTCTCTCTCTCTCTCCTCATACTTCCTGTCTCACTCTAATGTCCACGATCTAATGAATCTTAAAAATGAATCTTATCAAGAGTTTTGTACATGTTTCACTGAGTGTGTATTTGAAAATATGAACCTTGTTTTAGCAGAAGCTCAACTGTTGTATTAGATTAATATGTGATGGAAAACTCAAACACACATTCAACACACACATTGTGATTTCAGTCACACACACACACGCACACACACACACACACACATCGGACTCAGAGCACAGTCTGGGCTTAATACATGCTCACATGTCAAAGGACTGCACTCACCTTGCCCTGGCCTTTCATCAGCACTATACTGGAGATAATAGATGGCTGTGCCAGTCGCCATGGAGACTCCACTTGAATGGTGCTCAGGGAGCGGGCTGATTTCTTAATGATCTGATATTCCTAAAAGGGAGATGAATATAAAAAACAGGAAACTGTCACATGTAACTTATAAAAACATCATTGTTGTTTATATTGTGATGAATTCTCATTTATTCTAATGGAACATCTGCATTACTCCCATAGACTGAAGGTAACATCTGTGTTCTCTTGTTGAGTTGTAGATTCTGATGGAAAATCACCTAACTGACTGAACTCAGCTCTGTGGGGTTTGTTGTAGAGACGTCACCCAAGCTGTGACTCTGAATGTTTGATTAACCTCTCATCAACACAGCAATTAGAGCAGCTCTCCTCAGCACTGTTGTCATGACAGTCAGGTCAGAGTGACCAAGCTTTGATCTGCTGCTTCTATCTTTGTGTGTATGTGTGTGTGTGTGTGTGTGTGTGTGTGTGTGTGTGTGTGTGTGTGTGTGTGTGTGTGTGTGTGTGTGTGTGTGGAGGATGATACATAAGTACATATGCTCTTGTGGTTATTTGTGTGTATGTATATGCATCTGTGTGTGATTTGTACAACTCTGCCATGCACTCGTGTGTGCACACGTGTGACTCCTAACACACAGGCATGCACATCTGCATGTACATCTATGTGCATATCGTGTACACACACATGCTTGACTTTTTAACTGTAATCATTATGGTTGTTTTATCTGTTCACATCATTTATCTAACTTTGTTTTTTAATTCTTGTGTGTACATATGATTTTCCATCAGGTAGTTACTATAATAAATATTAGCTGAGACATGAAATGCCAACTTTGCTAAAAAGAAACTTGTAACAGAGCCTATGATGATTCCTGGTATCTTGACATCTCCTTCATAAAGAAGCAGTATACCCAGTTATAACTGACTAGTGGGGATGTGCAGGTTGACCTCTGACCTCTGTGTCAGCAGGTTCAGGTCAGTTTATACTAGAAAATATCAGGTTCAGGTGGGTCAGGACAAAAAGTAACAACGCAGCATTATTTAGACGTTGATTACTAGTCTGCCTTCTCTTCCCTCTCACACACCTGACAGATATCTGTCGGATGAGCTGACACAGAGCGACTTGCAGCTACAGCTACAGTTCTCTCTGTGAGGATCCAGCAAGTGACTTGGTTATGGTATTTATTCCAGACATCAGCAGTAGCTTCTCTTAATCTGTTTTTCCCAATGTACTCGAGTACTATGTGATTTACAAGTGATTTGTTTTTTGGGGGAAGAAAGAAAAAAAAATTAGAAAAATCCCCCCTCACTTGCCTCTCTGGGGTCGTTTTCACAGATGAAAAAAAAAACTTGATCCTGACATGATCCTTGCCTTTCAGGGCTTTCCTAGTTTCTGTTTCCATGCATTAGAAGCTTTCATATATAAATAATTTCTTAAATAATCGATGTGTTTTGTTGTTAATACCTTTAAATGTTCTTTTTTTACTGTGATGCTGCCTTGTGCAGTCTGATTTGACAGTGTTGTATCTGACTACAGTCATGTCAATAAAGCTCCTTTGAATTTGAATTCGACCACTGTTCCATGAGTTTAGTTGCTGGACCTATTTGAAAGATAACAACTCATCTTTCTTCCATATTGTTTCATGATAAAATATAGAAATCAGATCAAACGATGCACATCTTTACACCCTCAGTTGAATAGAGAAACGAGGTGAGGCGTTTACTGACCTGCCTCACTCCAGCAGTATCTAGTTGTTGAGGTAGAGAGTGTTTACGTCGGCCCGGTGGAGGCTTCTCCGCCGCCTCACCGCTCACTCCGTTCTCCACAAACAGCTCGTCATCCTCACCCACTGACTCCAGACGGCTGCTCCCCCCTGATCCAGCAAGCAAGCCAGGTTTATTTGTAAAGCACTTTTCCCAGATGCTAGTCACAAAGTGCTTCACAATCAAATTTAATAAAAACAAATGAAAGAATACAATTACATTAAATAAAAATCAAAAACAGAACGCCAGATAAAATAAACAAGGGGAAAAACACATGTAGGACACTGGTTAAAAGCATAAAATACCACGTGTTACCTAAAAGCCTGTTTAGTTGCTTTTTAAAAGAGTCCACAGAGTCCAGGGATCTCAGATTTGGTGGGAGACTACACCAGAGCTTGGGAGCTGTTGACTGGAAGGTACAGTCACCCCAGGTTTTAAAGCGTGAGCGTGGTATGCTTGCTTAAAGTGATCACTAAAATTTAAAAATGGATTTGAAAATGAATGGGAAGCCGGTGCAGGGAGGTTAGGTTCTGTGCGATTTTGTTAAAAGCCTGGCAGCAGCATTCTGGACAGTTTGCAGGCGCTGTAGGGAAGATTTGGACCGATAGGTAAAAAGGGAATTACAATAATCTAAACGCGACGAGATAAAAGCATGTATTAACATCTTCATTTCATTTTATGACAGCACAGGTCTGAGTTTGCCAATATTTCTTAAGTGGGAAAAACATGACCTAGTTAGTGTTGTAATGTGTGCATTCAAACTCATGGACTGGTCAAAAATAATGCCAAAATTGGGTTGAGAGGAGGAGGACAGGTCACGAGCTTCTGCTTGATTGCTGATTGGAGGTTGAGCAGGTTGAACAGCCTGTGCAATTCCAGTAGCTGGACAAGTTGCTTTTCAACCACCAATGCAGTTTGGAAATAGGCCGGTCATTTTCTGGCGAGGAGGGATCCAGGTTTGATTTCTTTAACAAAGATTGAACAATCGCATGTTTAAATAACTGTGGACATATCATGATAAAAAAAAAAAAAAAGAAGTTGAGTGGAAAAGGGTGTAAAATTTGACATTATTAACATTTACCACCTTCTCTATAAAACATTTAAGAAAGGTATTGCAGTCACTGTTTGAGAAGATCGGCAAGTTCAGGGTGCTGGNAAATAGGCCGGTCATTTTCTGGCGAGGAGGGATCCAGGTTGGATTTCTTTAACAAAGATTGAACAATGGCATGTTTAAATAACTGTGGACATATCATGATTAAAAAAAAAAAAAAGAGAGAGACAATGTGGTTTATGGTGTCAAACAGAACTTTCGGATTTCTCTTATTGGAGGATATATGATTTGAAAAGTAAGCAGCTCTCTCAGACTTCACTAGGTCACTGAAAGTGCAAGAGTCCTCTAGGATGTAGCCTGTGAACTTCCACAAGCGCTCAGTCCTTCTGCATTTTTGTCTAAAACATTAATCCGAGAAAATCGAAAAGTTCGTTTGAAACCGATTAAACCACATTGTCTCTCCCAGCACCCTGAACTTGCCGATTCTTCTCAAACAGTGAACTGCAATAGCCTTTCTTAAATTTTTATAGAGAAGGGGTAAAATGTTAATAATGTCAAATTTTACACCCTTTTCCACTCAAACCTTCTTTTTTTTTTTTTTATCATGATTGTCCACAGTTATTTAAAACATGCGATTGTTCAATCTTTGTTAAAAGAAATCAAAACCTGGATCCTCCTGCCAGAAAATGAACCGGCCTATTCCAAACTGCATTGGTGGTTGAAAAGCAACTTGTCCAGCTACTGGAATTGCACAGGCTGTTCAACCTGCTCAACCTCCAATCAGCAATCAAGCAGAAGCTCGTGACCTGTCTCCTCCTCTCACCCAATTTGGCATTATTTTTGACCAAGTCACGAGTTTGAATGCCACACATTACAACACTAACTAGGTCATGTTTTTCCCACTTAAGAAATATGGCAAACTCAGACCTGTGCTGTCATAAAATAAATGAAAGATGTTATACATGCTTTATCTCGTCGCGTTAGATTATTGTAATTTCCTTTTTACCTATCGGTCCAAATCTTCCCTACAGCGCCTGCAAACTGTCCAGAATGCTGCTGCCAGGCTTTTAACAAAATCGCACAGAACCTAACCTCCCTGCACCGGCTTCCCATTCATTTTCAAATCCATTTTTAAATTTAGTGATCACTTTAAGCAAGCATACCACGCTCACAGCTTTAAAACCTGGGTGACTGTACTTCGCAGTCAACAGCTCCCAAGCTCTGGTGTAGTTCCCACCAAATCTGAGATCCCTGGACTCATGTGGCGCTTTTTAAAAAGCAACTAAAAACAGGCTTTTAGTAACACGTGGTATTTTATGCTTTTAACCAGTGTCCTACATGTGTTTTCCCCTTGTCTATTTATCTGGCGTTCTGTTTTGATTTTTATTTAATGTAATTGTATTCTTTCATTTGTTTTTTATTAAATTTGATTGTGAAGAGGGCACTT